ATTATCATGGCTAAATGTGGAGAGCTATTATAAATGTAAAAAACATGCATCAGTTTCATATAAAAAGTTACAAAATATCTGTAAATCAGCTATTCAATATGAAATATACATCTTTCTACTATGATTACTAATATTTAATTCACGATGAATTATTTTCCAGTGAAATTAGAAACGCGTACCTCGAGTGTTAACCGTTTAATATAATCCGCACATTCATCAACGGGTATCACAAAATTTTCTAGTAATTTTAATCTCACAAATATACCGTCCCATATTATCTCACCAAATTCTCCATGTTTATATGTCAGTTCATCATACTTTATTATTTTATCTTCAGTTACTTCACTTCTCACCAAATGGTACGGAGTATTTGGCACGCTTATTTTTGAAATGGCATTTAATATCCATATGAATTTAAAATTACTAAAAGTAATATAATATATAATAAACTTTTTAATTCTTAATGTGAGAATAATACTCACATGGGATTTGCAGGTGACTGTTCCGTGTCATTATTAATGTCATTTGTTATAAACTCAATAGTTTTTTCCTTTGCTAATATCTCAAGTTTACAAAAAATATCATCCAATGTTGGGCGTTGATTCGGATCAGCCGACCAACATTTTTTATAAAGTTTTATATAATTTATAGGTGTATTTAGGATAGGTTTCTCTCTTTCATCCAAAGAAATTTTTAAAATTATGTTCATATTAGTCGAATTGCGAAATGGTGGAACACCGCTTGTAAGTTCCCATAAAAGAACACCCAAACTATAAATGTCAGATCTCTTATCACGTATATTCGCTCTGGTAGGTTTTATGCATTGTGGTTCAATATATGCGGGCATTCCTGCTATATTTGAACCTGTGATTGTCATCTCCAATTCATTCTTCGATACTCCGAGGTCTCCGATCAAGGCTTTGCCATCGTTTATTAAAATATTTTTAGAGTGCTAGCGAAATTTTGAGATATATTTAATTCAAAATTGTCGCTAAAATCGAGTATTTAAAAATTAATCTTACCAAATCTCTATGAATAATTCCCCTATCATGAAGGCACTTTAATCCATTTGTAATTTCCGTAGAAATTCGGATGATTTCTTCCCATGAATTTTTATAAATACCATCTTGGTGTTTTCCTTGTAAATAATTGCGTAGATTTCCACCATTAGCAAATTGCAATACCAGCATAAAGCTTCCTGTTTTATCTGAAGTAATTTATGGTAATGACATATGAGAATTAAATTTTTAAGCATAAATTTCACATTCTCAAACAATTTTTCATACTTTTTGAAATACCATAGAATTTAATAACGTTTGGGTGATCAATCTCATTAAGATTTCCGATCTACAAACGCAATTTTAGATTAGATCATTGTCAAAAGCTTGGTTGTTTTCAAGGCTAATATAATGCACTGATTAAAAAGACCCGGATATGTTATATAATGTTGGTTATATGTTATAAAAAGGAAATTTTCAAGTGAATACATGCTTTGGCAACTTGTGATTATTGGAGTTTTTACTATTTATCATATTTTACGTGAGAAAGGATCTTTTTTGTCAGTGCGTTATTTGTCACGTTTTACGTGTCAGTTTATAGGTTTTACAATATTAGTTTGCACCCTTGTTATAACTTGTTAATTATTTTTTCTGTAGTTTCACATAATACTATATTCAGCAGGTAAGTCTTGCCTTCTCAAACAGAAGATGGATAATGATAAGGATCATGGTCCAGCATTAAAGTTTGATTAAAACCCGTTCTGGACCTGGATCGGCTTATATAATACTTGTTTAATCCAAACTAGGACATCCAACAATTCTAATTTAACATTCTAATTCAACATGTCTAATTTAACATTCTAAATTGTATCCTATTAAATACAGCTTTAGAATATACGTAATAAATAATAAATACCTCACGTTTAATGTCCTTGAAATTTCTATCGTCCACGAGTAAATGAATATTTAGACTTTTTAATGCGTACTTTTTGCCTTGGAAATTTGCTGAGAATACGACTGCAGTTCCACCATGACCAATTTTTATAAGGTCACTGAACTCCGAAGATTCAAACCTTTTTAAGTTAGCATCTTCTATATATGAATCTAACTTATCAAAATATTGTATAAGTTCACACGAGTTGCTGTTATATGAATCATGGTTTCCTTTTTCTAAAGCTTCAAATATCTCCATTCTAATGCAAGAAGAATAAGTCGTTCTAGATCGTTTTCTGAGGAGGTATTAGGTAGACCAGCGTTTGAAATATTATCGTTATATCAATGTCAATGGGTATTAAATAAGTTTCTTATTTTTATTTTATTTCTAATCATCAGGTCAGATGGTCAGGTGTTACACAAAATTCCACATCGGAGTGCCAGAGATAGTATGTACGTCGTACGTATGCTTGATTTTAATGAGTTTGTCATACGTATTATGCTATTTTTCAATAAATAATGATGAGTGTTCGCGAATCTGAGGCTTATTACACACGGTCACGAAACCACGTGAGTTGTTCGGCGGTCACATAGGCAAACAATTATGGTAATAGTAATGGGCGCTGTTACGAAAAATTTTGTCAAATTTTTCGTAACTTGCATTTTCGCTATATAGTTTCTTTGTCTTCCTATGTAAAGGTGGTAAATCCTATAGTCACGATAGTAATAGCAC